ACCCTGATGAATTGGACCAATGGCCCATCTAGTCCAGCAGGCTGTTCTCTCAGTGGCGAACCAACTGCACAAGGATGCCCACTAGTCTCCCAGCAGATACTTTCAAAGGCAGTCACACTGCTAACAAGGTTAATAGCCAGCCATCTGCATGACTTCGGTGAATTGATCCAACCCCCTTTTTTAAGCCAATCAAGCTGGTAGCCAGTACCTCATATCTTCACCAACATTTTACTGTATAGTTTCAGGGGTAGGGTATCTTGGCTCTTTTATGACTTGTGGACGTCAATACCCAGAATTCCTGAACCAGCCATGTTGACTCAGGAATTCTGGGAGTTGAAGTCTACAAATCATAAAAGAGCCAAGGTTCCCTACCCCATAGTACACAGTTCTCAGAGGACTCTGCAATGCGATCTTCTCAGCATGTGGTCCAGTCTTAGTACTGCTTTGCCACTGTAACAACTCAATAACAGGGTTTTACAAAACTCATTTTCAATGAAACCAAAGATAACCTTCCAAGAGATATAAAAGTAAATACAGGTAGTTCATCTTTAGGAACCACAATTGGGACAGCAACTTGGTTGTTGAGTGAATTGTTGCTAGGTGGAATCACAACTGTGCTTATAATTTTAGTACAGTTTTCTTTTGCTTTACAGACTTGCTAAGGTCATAAATGTGAAGATTGGTCTTAAAAGTTACTTTTTCACCACCATTGTAAGGGCAAACTGTCACTAAGCATGGCAGTCACTGACCAAGAATTACTTGTACTATTCTATAGATCAGTGGTTCTTAACCTTTTTAATGCCGTAACCCCCAACCGGTCGTAAGTCAAGGACTACTCAACTGGTGCAGCACCGTTTGCAGAATGGGACTTTTGGTGGGCTCAGCAGGGCAGAGACAGCCTGGACAATTCCTATTGGCTTTTGAAAGCCAATAGAATTAGACTCTGTTCAAGAGAGTCTATTCTATTGGCTTTCAAAAGCCAATAGAATAAAGAAAAGGGGGAAAAATGGCGGACTGCGTTGTTTGGCGACCCCCGTGAAATGGTCATTCGAACCCAAATGGGGTCCTGACCCATAGGTTGAGAACCACTGCTGTAGATAGTAGACAGACATGTTTATGTCTGCAGCAGAAAACATACTGGTTTCTTATATTTCTTCAGACTGCAAAATTACTTTGTAAAAGGCAGCATAATGGCATAGATTATTACACATTGTTTTCTAATATTCCAGCGACTGGTATTGAAAACCAAAGAGGAATATGGAATATCTTCTGTCCAGCAAACATATGCTTCAAAGCTTAGTAGTTCAAACTGCCCATGCTTATCTAACAGCAACAGGGGAGGTGGTGGGCAGGGCAGGAAAATGTCAATAAACCGGATAAACTATTTATCACAATCCAAACACTATTTTGCTTCCTGCACTTTTACTCTTTGTTATTTTGCTATAATCGTTTTACTGTTATCTTTCTACCATAAAAAGATATTAAAGCTTATTAAATGGCAGAACAGGAATTGTGTTCTGGGCTCTCCCCTGGCAACCAGTAAATAGGAACATAGATACTAAATCAGACATTTATTTATTGTTGCTAGTCAACAGTCAGTTTTTAGGCTACTATGTTTTTTAGGACATTTAATCTTGGATAATTTTAAAACCTTCTATATATAATTTTTTTACATTTTTCTATCAGAATATTTTTCTCCATTTCTGAAATATGTAAACTTTAAAAAGTGAAGAATGTCAATTTTACTGTTTTATTTTTCTTCTAATTATAATTTGGAACATTTTTCCCCAACAAAACCAATTATTACATTAGTTCTAAACCTGTAATCCACGGATCTTTGGGGGTGGTGGTGATGTAATCACAGGTGGTCTGCAAAGTCTTGAAGAAATGTTATGATTTAAATCTTAAATTTTGGGGGCCGGTGGCCACAAAAGGTATTTAAAGGGGGTCTCTGATGAAGAAAAGGTTGAGAACCACTGAATTATTATATTAGTCACAGAAATCTAAGTTCAAGTTACTTTAACTTGATAAAGTTAATCTCTTCCCTGAATTGCACTAGCTAATAAAGTGTTAGTCTTCACCATGGAAACTTTTTAAGCTAAAATTTCATTAAATTACTAGTGCAGATTAAATTTATAGATGATTTATACTTGCAAAAATGAGGAAATGCTATGTGTGATACCAGAAACCAAGTAATGTTTTCTGTGACAATGTGAAAAGTGTAATTCAATGAATATAAGGTAAATATATAAATATGATAAAAAGCAAGAAAAACATACATATTTAGAATATTACTATTTTCTGACTGCAATTTGTAGTAATAGTAGTACTATTCCTTTTATGCTTTCCTTTTATTGATGTGATTGTAATAAGTCCATGATTACTGCATATTGCATGCATAAAAGATATTTCTACGCAAAACAGTACTTGCAAAGTCCTTTACTGTTTTAAAAATTTTCAGTTTTTAAAATTTGTTTCAGATAGTGGAAAAGAGAGGTTAAAATAAAAGCTATAAAATTATAGTATAAAATATCTGTTACAGAGGCAGGTTATAACTAAAACCATCTAGCCATGAATTTCATATAATATGCATGATGTTCCCCTTGATTTGTATATGCTGCTGGACAAACAATTTCGGGATAAGTACTTGGGGATCAAGTTAGCTATTTATCTTTTGCAGTTATTGATTTTATGTAATACAGAAAATAATTTTACTAGATGTAACAATAGCCATTCTTTTCCAATTCTTTGGTAACCCTGTGTCACATAAAAACACTTTCCCACATATTTCAAGAAACGTAATTCAATTTTGAAAAATGGTATGAAATCATATTGCAAAACAATTTTCCATTTCCCCTCAAAAGTATACAAAACATGTATGTGAGTGTTCTCTGAACTTGACTGATTTCTTGCAGACGTTTCATTACCCAAATAGGTAACATCTTCAGCGCTAGAAAGGATTGAGGTTTGCCTTCTGTTTATATATAGTGGCTTTCCCTTTCGGTATTGGTGGGAGTGTTTTCTTCTTGATAGTTCCTTGATTAGGTTATTGTTTACTGTTTGAGTAAATAACTGAGTTGGTAGTTCCTTGATTGGGGGTATTAGGTACTGCTCAATTGTTAGTCTGATACTAATTTTAGTGTTAATCCTTGCTTACCTGGGTGTTGAATGCTAGTGAGGAAGTGTTTTGGTCTTTTTATTTCCATATTCGTTTTTTTATTATCTCTTTTGAATGATGTGTAAATGTTGTTTATCTATATATGCCTGTTGATGGTTTATTTATCTGAGTGCTAGGCTTCCAGAAATTCTCTAACACTTTTGGACTTAGTTTGGTCTAGAATTTTCAGTTTCCCAGCTGAAACTACAATATGGCTAAACCTGTCCATGTGTTGTGTAACATGTAATTCAAATCCACTGATTTCACGTACAGAAATCAATGTTTAAGTTGCAAAAATGGTTTAGTACACACAGTACTTTAATTGGGGAAAAGTTTTTTTTAGCATTTCTACATTTCCTGGAGAGATAATCACATCAGTCTGTTGCAGCACAAACTAAACATGTCATGGCACCTTAAAAGTGAACTTATTTATTTGGTACAAACTTTCCTGGATTTTAGCCAACAGAAATGAAAACATTAACCTAAGTCAAACCACTCAACTCCAAATTGGGTAATGGATAGAACTGGAGATGGTGAAAACAGAAAATGAAATGTGCAATATTTTCTGAAAAAAATATCTAATTGCCATGATTTATAGAACAGCTCCTTGTAATAGTGAGCTGATTACAGAAAGTAAAATCACCTACACAGTTAAAGATTTTTTTATGAGAGTTTCAGGAGGTAAAAGTTGAACTCCTTCATGCATTTCATAATGAAAGTGTATATGTTAATAAAAATGTTTCTTATGATTGACCACCTTGATAAAGTAGCAGAATGTCATGGAAAGTAAAAGGCCTTTATTAAAAACTAATTATTGAAGTCAGATTTGTATTCTGTTTATTTTCTTCTGTAGAAACAGGTCAGTTTCATTTGCAATGCAGAAAGGATGCAATTTATTATGCCATAAAAACAGATTAGATCAGAGACCAGCAAACAGATGTTTTTCAGGTACTTTGGATTACAACTCCCATAAGCCACAGCTAGAATAACCAATGTTTAAGAGATATTAAAATAATCTAAAACAGCAGGAAGTGAACATATAGTCTACCTGTTTTATTATAAAAAACATTTTAAGATGATGCCACCAAACAGCCTAACCTTGAAAAAAGAACTAACTAAACTTGATGATACTAAATAAAGTGGAATGGCATAAATTATAAAATATATTAATTTTAAAAAGAGGAAGTCATCAAAATATCACTCATTACATTCCCTAGAATGGCAAGTCTTTAAGGTGCCCTAATTAATACATTTCCCATTCTCTCTCTTTCTGCCTCTTCATAAAATATAAAGGAATCGTAAGGGTCAACTAAGCCCACTACGGGCAATTTCTAATGATCCCTACAATAAAGAGAGGCCCACTTCTTTTCTCTTCTTATTCTACCAGACTCCTTGAACCTCAGCTCCGTTTGCCTTGGGATAAAGCCAATGTCGGCATAAAAAAAACTTGGAGGGCACCTGCTGCAAAAACAGATACAATAAAACCAAGAGCGGAAGGCTTTTGGACACCTCCTTTGCAGAGACCCGCGGCCTAATGCAAGCATTTGGGCCATCAAGGGCTTCTTCAAGTCGCCCCACCAAAGCCTGGCCTTAAGGAGAGGAGTGAATCTGCACATATAAACTCAGCAACTCCCTCTGAACAGCGAGAGGCGAGATCTTGAGGGCAGCAGCGGTCAGATCCCTTGGCGGCGTCACAACACGGCACGTGCGTTGGCAGAAGGCGCACTCCGCGTTCCTCCAGGCTCTGCCAGCAAAGCGCTGCAGGCGAGAGAGCGCTCGCCGGCCGCTCGGCGGGAGCTTCGGGTGCGCGTGAGTAGCCGGCTCAGCTGGCTCTTCCACCTACCTGTAGGGGGAAAGTCGCCGCCTTGTTGCCCACGTAGCCCCGCACGACATGGCTCTGGATGGAGAGCACCCTGCACTCCTCCTCCCCTTCCATGCCTGCGCACCCTCGGGAGAGCAAGGAGCTGAGCACGCACCACCAGGTCGAGCTGGGCAGAGAGAGACAAGGTCCGGACCAGCTGGTGCTCGGCGGCGGAAGTGGTTTAAGGGCACATCTACCCAGCGGCAGAGTGGCAGAGAGAAAGGGTGCTCGGCAGAAAATGACAGGCGAAGTCAGGCGATCGGCGTAGACACCTAAAAGCTCTCCTTACATCACAGATGAGAATGAGCAGGCAGCGGCTCCCTCGCACCCAATTTAAAGGCACCCTCGCACTCCGCCCTGCAGCGGGAGGGAGTGGCTCGAGCAAGAGGAAGGCTGTCTCGAAGGACACGCGAGGAGCAGAGGGAGGGGAAGGACAGGAACGGCCATTTCCCCCCCCCCTCCCCGTCGCTTTGCTGTTGTTGCTGCTGCCGCCGCCGCCGCCAGCGTGAGCAGTCAGACGCCGACGTGCGGCATCTACAGCATAGATGCCCCTGCGGGTGCCCACGTCCCACTTGGGAAAAACAGAAATCTCACGCCGAAACGCCCCCGTGCGGAGCTTCCTGCTCGCCCTCACCTTACCAGGTCACGCCAATGCTGGAGCTCCCAATGCTGCTCGTGAACGATACTAAACGCGGGGGTTGTGAGAAAAGCCACATTTCAAAGGCGTCTTGTGACACGTTTTAAAGACACAGCAGGTTTGCGGTGGCTTTCGTGCAGGGCTTTGCCCAAGATTATACCCCCTGCCCCCATCTGCCAAGGCTTTCAGGTGGTGATAAAGGATGCAGCTCTAAGACAAAGAACTAATAGAGGATACTTACAAAAGTAAGTATGGGATTAATTGTCACAAGGAGTGATGAGCATCACTAGATTAGAAGAATGTAAAATGGATCATAAGGTTGTAGTATAGAAACCAACTGAATTGATTTCAGGGCCCATGAGATCTCTGAGAATCCCCTAAATACCTGGCACATTTGCAAAGCAAAACAAATATTTAGGGAAAACAAAACAGGAGGGAAGGAGGTGACTGAGCATGCTAAGCATGGAATGCTGACAAGACTTTGGAGAAAAATAGTGCATGAGTAGCCATTCCTGAAAAAAAAAAGCCAGGTAACTGGTTTGTATGTGTAATCAACTTGATTCATTCACAAAAAGTCCATATGTTCATCCTCCAATCATAGCTTTCGGTTTTTGTCTCCACTTCTTCCACCATTTTTCCTCAAGAAACAATATTAATGGAGAAAAGATGGAATAGCTGCACTGATTTTATAGATACTATGAACTACCGTGGATTGATTTACTTATATTAAACTCATTAAAATAACTGGAACTTTAACCAATTAACTTGCACTTCAGAGTCTATTTTTTTCTTTTGATGGCCCTTTGTTTAGGGTGGAGTTGGGTTGACTGATGGAGCTGAGCATTTATTGGCTGGATGCCCTTCCTGACACCTAAGCAGAGTTGGCTGCAGATATTTTCTCTTTGCACCCTGTCTGGGGCTTGAACTCTCAAACCTCCCAAGTGGGAGGCAAGCGTCTTTACCTATAGGCCATCACACAGCACACTTCAGAGGTCAACTATAAAGAATATTAAATTTGCATCCAGCTCTTATGATTTACCTGTTTCCCCAAAAGTAAGGCCTACCCCAAAAGTAAACCCTAGCTTGATTTTTGGGATGGGCCTAATATAAGCCCTATCCTCAAAAAAAGCCCTAGTTTTGGGGCAAGGCACACACCTAAAAATCAAGCTAGAATGGGGGTGGGGGTGGAGCTGACCCACGCACCCCCCACCCACTCACCTTGCAGCCAGGCCTCTCTCTAGCCCACTTCTGTGGCGTCTTCTGGAGCCAGGCCTGCATTTCTTAGTTGCAGGCCTTTCCAAAAGACCACTGCAGCCGAGAACCAAGCTATGAATTGAATCTATAGCTCGGTACTCAGCTGCATAGGCCTTCTGGAAAGGCCTGACTAGGAAATGCAGGCTGGAATGCAGCTGCAGAATGAAGCTGTTCCTTTGGTCAGAAGAAGTGGGCCAGCTTGGCGGGGCTGTCAGTGCCAGAGTTGAGTATAAAAGACACCCCCTGAAAGTAAGATCTGGTGCCACTTAGAGACAAAAAAAAAAAAACAAAAAACCTGGTCTTATTTTTGGGGAAACAGTAATACACATTTGATTTGTGACTGTCAGCTTTGTAAAAGTATGCACAAATTTTAATCAATTTTATCAAAAGCAATTTTAAGACTTCATGCCTTAAAAATATAAATCAAAAAAGCAGTATGTGAATCAAGTATTTTGCTTTCTGTATTCTATAATTTAGTATGACCTCTGTAAGAACTTATTTTTGTGGTTTTCTTTTTCCCTGTGTAATTCATGTATTATGCTTAAACTCAGTATCTTTGGCTTTGTTTCAAGCACTGAAAAAATATGCACAAAATGTCCTTCAAGAGCAGATTATGTTGTTTGGCATTCTTTACTATTCTGCTGAAGTCGAGCAACAGGGGTAAGATTATTAACCTCAGTTATTACTTTGCAGTTCATTTTGTTTCTCTTGGATTATTATGAAAGTAGTAGATTATTAATCAGAAATTTCTCATGAGTCTAAAGGTCGATAGAAGAAGCCATCTGAAAGCCATACATTCAGACAAGTGAACTACATATAAATAAGAAAAGCAGAAGTTGCTAGCTAACTGAAACCGCAAGTAGAGGAAACACAAAAACTGAGGATAAAGTTTAGAGCTTAAGGTAGCAAAGGTATAACCACAAACAAATATAAGAATTGAGCTTTGTTAATAGAAAGTTAGATGATGATAGATAGGACATGCACAAAGGGGCTTCCTGGAACATGGGAGGTACAGTGGTTTTAGGCGGTCTGGATTAGTTTATTGGATGATTAGGAAAGGGGCGTTGAGTGTGATAGGGGAGGGAGGAATCTGCAACGGGTAGGATATAAAAATGTGTCAAATAGCTTTTAAGGTGTGGCTGGATTCCTACATGTGTTTCAGCTCACCAAGCCTTAAATAAAACTTCGTTGCTGGAATTCCAATGAGTTTGTTTGTTTTGGATCTTGAGCCATGTTCCAAACAATTATGTTAAGCAAACGTAAAGTCAAAGAATGAGGAAAAAGGAGAACTCTAATCACAACATTTAAAGCAAGTATTGGCCATAACCTTTAAAGCAAAAAGCATGTTCTAAACACCAAGAATGATGTTTTTGTTTCAGACAACAGCTGTTTTGACAACTGATGTACCATTTAATCAATAACAAAAATATATATCTAAATTTATATGGCAGGAGAGAGAAAAAAATCACACATTAAATATTGTGTTTTAAGATGCAAAGGAAAGAGGAGGGTTGGGTTTACTGAATGTGAAATTGTATTTTGCTACTTCTTGTTTGGTCTGGATGAAAGAATCCATCTTGTTGAGGAACAAGAAACTTTTAAAGGTAGGTCATGACCTGAGGTTTTGATGACATCATTATTTATGATATGTTAGAGCTAAAATTAAGGTAAGTTTTATATTTCTGTATAAATGTGTACAATACAAGTAAAATTAAATCTGGAATACACAACACAGCTAAAATAACAGTTAAAGGAACACAATAATCAGAGTTCTAATTAGCAGGGCATATTCTGTAGATTTTATCAAATGTTCTTTTTCTACCTTTGTTAGGGAAATATTGCAAGTGAAATAACCAAAACACTTGAAAGAGTTAATAAAGTGCATTTCTATTCTATAAAAAAGGGATAATGATAATTGGGCACTTTTGCAGAAAGAAAAAAGGCACTTTTCTAGAAACAAGAGCAGACTATGTATTTATCCAGTGTACATATTAATTTAACTAATTTTCATGTAATTAATAACTTACATAAATATGTGCATGTTGGTTTTCTGAGGATTCCTTACATCAGGGGTCCCCAACCCACGGTCCGTGGACCAATACCAGTCCGTGGCATGCCAGCAACCGGTCTGTGCAAACATGCAAAGCCCCATCTGCGAGATGTAGGCAGCATACAAAACCGCGCCCCCTCCAGTCTGCGGAAAAACCTCTCTCCACGGAACTGGTCCCTGGTGTCTAAAAGGTTGGGGACCTCTGCCTTACATTTGTACACTGAATACTTATATTGAGAATAGATAAGAACTGGCTTTGAGAAGTATGATGATTGTGCAAACTTATCAAATCAGTTAGAGTTTGCTTCAAGGTATTTCTTCGTTGTCTATCCTGCTATTGCCTGTATATAATAATAATAATAATAATAATAATAATGATGATGATGATGATGATGATGATGATGATGATGATGATGATGATGATGGAAGGGACCTTGGAGGTCATCTAGTCCAACCCCCTGCTCAGACAGGAAACCTATACCATTTTGGACAAATGGCGGTCCAGTCTCTTTTTAAATTCCAAGTTTTAATAATAGTTTTTCAATACTTTTTTCCTTTTGTTAACGACGCTTCCTCCACATGCTCTTCTGGAAAGCAGATAGTTTCCTGAAAGCAGATAATTATATGATTTAAAATTCTGGACCTGGGAAAAATTCAGTAGGTTTTACACTAGTTTTAACTGTTTGTTGCAAGCTGAAGTACGGTGTTTCTTTTATAATAATACATTTTAACAATTAATTTTGGATATTGATAACTCTTTTATCTTTTCTGATAGAATACGCAGTTGAATAATTATGTTTTCTTTTTCTAAAGTACCAAACTAAATCGAATTTCTGGCAAGACAGTATTTCAAATTCAGCATTTTCCCTTTGAAATGTAAGCCATAGGTCCCCATAGTCCAGCATTCTGTGTGACAGTAGCCAATGGAAAGCAAGAGCCCTCCCTTCCACTTTTAATTTTCAGTAACCATTATTAAGATATGCTATGTGTAATTCAATAGGCAAGAGTATGCCATTGATAGCCTGACCTTCCATGAACTGTGTAGTCCCTTTTTAAAACCCACCATATTGATGTCATTCCCGCACTGATATCATTATGACAGCAAATTCCAAACTTTAACTGCACAGATAGAAAAAGTATTCATTTTTGCCTATTCTGAATCTCTTTACATTTAGTTTCAGTAATGACCTCAAGTTCTAAAATTGTAAAAGAGTATTTGGCATATTGGGGGGCAGGGACAAGGAGGGCAAAAGAAGACACCTTGTTATGGTCCCAACTGCATGATGATATCATTGCACTCCTCATTTTGGTGTCATGCTGATGTAAGAGAAAAAGAAATTTCTCTCGTGTCTTTTTAGCTTTTAGTTTCAAGCTAAAGAGCCCTAGTGCTGTAATCTTTCTCTGTAGGGGACATATTTCAGTTTTGGGTGTAATTTTGGGTGTAGCTTATATTTAGTATAACAGCAACTGTGAGAGGGAGCTTGGAGTCCTAGTGCACGATCACTTGACTATGAGCCAGCAATGTGCAGCAGCAGACAAAAAAGCTAATACAGTCTTGGGTTGTATAAATAGGGGCATAGAATCAAGAACATGTGAAGTATTAGTACCGTTTTATAAAACCCTAGTGAGACCACACCTGGAATACCGCAACCAATTTTGGTCACCATATCACAAAAAAGATGTTGAGAGTTTGGAAAAAATTCAGAGAAGAGCAACTAAAATGATCAAAGGCCTGGAGACTAAAACATATGAAGAACAGCTGCAGGACTTGGGTGTGGCTAGTCTAAAGAAAAGAAGAAATAGGGGCGACATGATAGCAGTATTCCAGTATGTGAGGAGCTCTGCCACAAAGAAGAAGGGGTCACGTTATTCACCAAAGCACCAGAGGGCAGGATAGGAAACAATGGTTGGAAACTGATCAAAGAGAGAAGCAACCTGGAATTAAAGAGAAACTTCCGGACAGTGAGGACAATTAACCATTGGAATAGCTTGCCTTGAGAAATTGTGGGTGCTCCATCACTGGAGATTTTTAAGAAGAGACTAGATAGTCACTTGTCTGAGATGGTATAGGTCAGTGGTGGCAAACCTATGGCACACGTGCCAGAGGCAGCACTCAGAGCCCTCTCTGTTGGCAGGCGCACCACCGCCACCAGGAGCATGTCCATCAGGCCGCCACCGCCATCTGAAGCAGGAGCCCCACCCAGCACAAAGGAGGCGAAGTGGCCGACTAGCATTTTACATGCGTCCATGAACACATTGGGCCACGAGCACGCATGTACTGCAAATAGGGCAGGGCTAGTGCCTGTGTGATACTCACTAGCCCTGCCCCGTTCTTGTGTGGTGCAGTGCCTTGTATCTGTATCTTGCAATGTGGCGGCAGCGGTTTTTGCGCCTTGCAGCATGCGCCCCCAGTTTTTGCATGCCAGAGGTGGCACTCAGAGGTGCCTCCCTGCCCCCCCCCCCGAGGGCAACACAATGCTGATGCAGCCCTGGCACTTTGCAATAAATAAGTGGGTTTTGGGTTGCGGTTTGGGCACTCGGTCTCTAAAAGGTTCGCCATCATTGGTATAGGTTCTCCTGCTTGAGCAGGGGGCTGGACTAGAAGACCTCCAAGGTCCTTCCAGCTCTATTCTATTCTAGTACGAAATTAAATGCTATTATTAAATCAGGTATTGCTCATCCAAGCAATACCAGCACATTTGGTTTTTATTTCCTAATGAAGAATTTTACATTTGTCTATTTTCTAATTTTACTCTGCTATTTTATTTGGCTGTTCATTTCTCTAACTTACCAAGATTGTTTTGAATTTTATTTCCGACAGAGATTTGAAGTCAGCAGGAGCTCTTTTGTTGCGCTTTGCTTATGTTCAGGAAAATACCTCCTGCTGAATTCAACATTTTTGTTTATTTGCGAATTGGATAAACATGCCTCTACTTGGTATTTTTTTTTATTTGTTAAAGAATACAGAACCTAGTAACATCTTTTTTTAAAAGTATTTTATTGTTTTTTTTATCATTACAATTTATCTGTGCTTAGTAACGTATTGTCTGGGTTAATTTTGCCTAGTCATACAGATTAAGTTCTTACTCTCTATCCCGCTTTTCTAATCTTTGGAAAAATAAGTTCCATGTTTGAAAGTATACTGTGTCTTCTTTTCCTTTGATTTTCAATGTAAGTCTGTCCATTTCTGCACAGTCCAATATTTTCTTAATTATCACTTCCTCCGATGGTGTTATCTCATTTTTCCAATGCTGTGCAAATATGATCCTCACTGCAGTTAATACATGTAATGTTAAATATACATTTTCTTTATCAAACTTTTCTGGCATTATGCCTAGTAAAAAAAGTTCAGGTTTAAAATCTACATGCTTTTCTAATATTTTTTCTAACCATGTATATATTTTACTCCAAACCTTTTTTGCTTTTACACAAGTCCACCACAAGTGATAATATGTACCAGGATTCTGATTACATTTCCAGCATTTGCTAGACATATTTTTAAACATTTTGCTAATCTAATAGGTGGAAAATGCCATCTATAAAACATTTTATATAAATTTTCTTTATATGAAGTAGCCATTGTCAGTTTAAAATTTCTTTCCCATAAATTTTGCCATTTTTCTAATTCTATGTTATGCCCAAGGTTTTTTGCCCATATAATCATTGTTTCTTTTACTTGTTCGTCTTCCATTTTTGAATTCAACAGAATTTTCAACCGAAAATTATACAATTTTTTAATATTTTTTTCATCAGAAGTCAACAACACCTGATCAAACACTGTCTAATCTTTATAAAAGCCATATGCTTTAACATCTTCGTCATACCTCGATTGTATTTGCAATCGGGGCCACCATGATAAGTCAATGCCTTGGTCTTCCAGCTCTTGTTTAGATTTTAATTTCTCATCTATACTCAGAATATCCTTATATGTTAATTTTTTTCCAAATTTAACTAAATTTGGATGTGTGAAAGCTTCCATCGTTGATAGCCATTTTGGGATTTTCGTGTAAATTTTAAGTTTTATCTTTTCCCATACAGATAATAGTGCATTTTGGAAATATCTATTGTTTTATTCTTTTGATACCATAAAAAAGCATGCCACCCAAATTATAACTCATGTCCTTCTAAATATAGTAACCTTTTATTTCTAAGAATTATCCATTCTTTTAGTCATGTTAGAGCACACGCTTGGTAATATAAGGCCCAATCTGGTAGTCCAAATGCTCCATTTTCTTTAGTTTCTTGTAGCATTTTCAATTTGATTCTGGCTTTCTTTCCTTGCCAAATAAATTTCAAGATCAATCTATTCAAATCGTAAAAAAAAATTCTATTTTTACAGGTATTGTTTGAAATAAAAAAAGAAGTTTTGATAAAATATTCATTTTCAGAGTCGTTATTCTTCCTAGCATTGATAATTGTAATTTTTTCCATTTTTCCAAATAAGCTTTAATTTGATTCAATAATTTTATATAATTATCTTCTTTTATCATTGCACATCTTGCTGTTAGGTATATTCCTAGATATTTCACTTTCTTAACTATTTGTAAGTCTGCTTTTTCTGACAGTTGTGTTTTTTGCTTATCGGTAAATTTTTAACTATAACTTTGTTTTTTTTCTTCCTCTGTTTATTTTGTTTTTTTTCTTCCTCTGTTTATTTTCAGTCCTGCAAATTCTTCTATCTTTTTCAGTAGTTTAGATATTGTGTCCAACGGTTCTTCTAAAATAAATACCAAGTCATCTGCAAATCCTTGTAGTTTGTAACTTTTGTCTTTTATTTCCATTCCTTTAATTTCTGGATCTTGTCTAATGTTTCTATTGAGAACTTCCAATGTTAGTATGAACAGAGCCTAGAATTAACATCTTGGTGTTGATTTTTTGTTCTAGTTGATCAAGAACCACTGATGAGCACTCTTGAAGCATGATTTTTCAAGCCCAAAGTATATACCCTTAATACATGACATTAGCCCCTACTTGATTATTTTCTTAAAGAATATCCTGGGTACATGTTATTAAATGCTTGGAGAAATGTTAATATGTTACATATGTAGCATTCCTACAATTTGCTAAAGAATTACTTACCCAAAAAAATCAAAGACAAGACTTTAGGCACTATTTTAAAGGTATTTTATGATTTGTTCTAGAAACTTCCCAATTTTTGTGGATTCTTCTACTTTTGAAAAAAGGGGCAACATTATTTATTAATTTTATTTCTTTAAACTAATTCATTTTAATAATAAATACTCTCATCAACTTAGTTGGTATTGTAAGCCATTTTGGGAAGCAAGATGGGCAGTATTTAAATGTAATAAATAAATATAAAAAGACCAATTAAAACATCTGTGATAGCCTACAGGTCATTTGAACATTGTAACAACAATAAAAGCAGCACAACCCAAAACATAAACATCAAAATAAGAAAAATGAAAGATATTATAAACTCTGAAACAATTCCCAGCTACATGAAGTTCTGAAATGTCAGCAAAGAGAGATTTCTCTTGAAGGCCATTTCACAGTGATCCTGCCATAGGAAAGAAACATCTTCTTGCTTCAACTCCCCCCAAATCTCTTTAAAATTTGGAATTTGTAACAGGTTCTCTTTAATTGGTTGGAATAGATAGTCCTGCAGACGCTAAGCTATAAAGAGCTTGATAAGTTATTTGCCTTTGTCTGACATTTTACCAGGATCTTCCAAAATAATAGTCACATGTACTTTCAGTACCTTATCATACAGTTCATCTTGTCTCAAAGATTAAGTTCAAAGTAAATGTATATTAACTGATAGTGTTTCTGTCATTCTCAAGCTTCAATTCTGCTTTTCATCCTGCAACATTCTGTTCTTCATAATTGCCATAATTCAGTTCTATTCATTTGGTTCCCTGTGTTTGTTTACGTGTGCATACTCACGCCCACACACAGATTTCTGTTAGGGAGCCAAATTAGAGTTTAAATATCTCTGCCACTTCTTTGTTAACTCTTTAGCACTGTACCACCTTCATTGAATGGATTCTTTTTCACTCTTTTTAAAATATATATTTTTGTTAAGAAATTTGATTACATTAACTGAAATTCTGCTACCAAGAACTGTTACAAGTTTGTGCCTGATTATTTTCAGATTTTATTTATTGATTTGATTTGTTTTGCTGACCATCTCACCAAGAAGTGGCTCTGGGCAGCTTACAAATATTAAAAGACAATAAAACATTGAAGCAATAATCTTAATAATAATAATAATTTACAATTAAAAGATGGGGAAGAAGGGAGCAAGATGCACATAAGGGAAGGTGGGATCTTGTCTTAATCATCAACCACTTGCGGCATGATGCCTCCAATTGGCAGAGTCAGGTCTTCAGACCCTTATGGGAAGTCAGAAGGATGGATGTGGATCTCACCTCAGGAGGCATGATGTTCCAAAGGGCAGGAGCCATGGCAGAAAAGGCTCTTCTGCACCCACCAGCCAAAATTCCTGACCGGTGGGGTCTGTAGCATGCCTCTTTTACTGGCATGGGTAGGTAGACCAAACCTACTGGGGTGAGATGGTTCCTCAGATAGCCTGGACCAATGCCATGAAGGAGCTTAACAGTAATAACCAACAGCTTGAATAGTACCTGGAAGCAAACTAGCAGCCAGTGCAGCTTGCAAAACAGCAGTGTACTATGGGCCACCTAAGGGGCCCCAAAAACACATGCGCTATTGCATTCTGCACTAGTTACAGCTTCCAAATTCTCTTCAAGATGTTTTTTCTAATACCATTTTCCATAGGTATTACTGATCATGTCTGTAATTTCATTTTTTTTTACTATGGTATACATTTGATGAAGAACACAATTACTATGTGGTACATTTATTTGTGCCTATATTCATCTTCAGGCATGTTACCTGGGAGATAATTAGGTTTTATTTTTTACTATAGCAAAAAGCCTGCTTCTTGGTTGGATTAAAATTAGCATTAAAAAAACAAAGTTATTTAGATGCAATTTCAGCAATTAACAGCATGGTCAATATGATTTCAAGACTTCATGATTGTGATTTTTTTTTTAAGTGCAGCAATACCACACTAAAAATAACAATATGACAGTGACATTTCTGCAGCAGCCTTTGAAGAGACAGCATTTTGAATGAACATGAGGATTACTGAAAAAGTTAGACCCCTTTTCTCTTCATCTGCATTGAATAATATGCACTTGGTATATCTATATATCTGAGGTCCTCACTCTGAATTGTAAATTCACTTATTGTTAAATGCACACATATTTATTTTATTTTCACACATTACCTATTTGTTTTTACTGTATGCAGGTTAAAACCTTGATTTCCAGCTGCGAATTGAGGAACTTATGACCCTGAGAAGTCTGCAAAAAGTATTGTGAGCTAATGGATCTTTGCTAGCTTGTATTGCCTGCTTATACTTGACGTAATTTAGATACAATCTGAAAGAATAATCGCATTTGGGGTAGTTGAACTTGTAATTGTCTTATTAAAACAAATAAGCTTTTGAAGACACCCCCCATTTCATATAAATAGGATTTTATTTATATTTAAATTGATTTTTTACACTTTTTTTACTGATTCTGATGGTTATATCTCATCATTTTCAAATTTAACTTTAAATATAATATTTAAAAGACAGCTGCTTTTCTTCTAAAAAAACAAAAGTAGAAATTTAACTATTTTAAAAGCATTTTAACTGCCTGGTTTGAATTTGTAAATATTAAATAAATAAATAAAACAAATAAACAACCAAATAAATAAAAACAGTACAATCCTATACAGGTGCATTCAAAGCTTATTTGAATTGAATAGGTCTTTTCCTCCTTCAAGTGGGAAAACCACATATAGTTAAAATTTTCTAGATAGTTTTTTTGATTTGGAAAACCCCATATTTGAGATCTTCTGAATCAGACTATTTTTCAAATACATTTTAAAAATTAGAAACAAAACAGCACTTTGCTGATAATATATTTCTGCCAGTTCAGCAGGGTTTCTTTGAGAAGTTTGTATTAAACATATCATCTAGACAGTAAATGAGATAACCCTAGCATGTGCACAGCCTAGATGTTGGCAAGCTTATCCCAAAATTTGAATAACATTAGTCCTGTCAGTGGGATTTTGCCAAGTATGCACTCCTCATTTTCTACAAAATGAGCACAAAATGTGTGAGTTCTAATCATTCTTAAAAATATATGAAAATATATCAGGATTCTCAAATTTTGTGGTCAATTTGCATGAATTGATGACCAACTTGCCACATGGTAAGCCTTTCTGATCCAGTTGGCCAATCAATAACACAAACCTGAAAAAAGTTTGCAGATACATGCCAACCGTCCTGTGTTATTGCTCTTCACTAAAATAACAGATCCTGAGCAATCATTTGTGTCTAGATCATAGATTGTATCAGCCATTGTATTGCCTCCATTAAAACTCTTGTCCCAATTCTTTTTGTTGTTTTCTAAGACTCCATCTTTGATGCCAGCCCAATAGCATCCTCCTATGGCAACATCTTCCAATGAGAAACAAAACTAAATCAACCTCCAACCTCAGCTTCTTTTATCAAAAACCATTACAATAACTTTGGATGTTTGTGATAATACATGGACAAGATGCCCATGGATGAATTTGTCTATCATTTTAAAAACATGTGATATTTTTGTTGCAAAATATGGATTTAAAATTGCTGCATAAAAAGAATATCTTAACACATATCAAACATAGAAGATATACACTTTCCTTTAACATAAAAAATGTCATGCTGAAACAAGGTTCATATAGAAATTGTGATGGATTTGACGTTGGATAATAAAACCATTAGAGGTACTCTTAAAAGTATTAAATACAACTGTAAAACACGTTATATTTTTGTATTTAACTTTCAGCAAAACTACTGCAAAATGGAACATATGTGTATAAACTAAGCTGGATAGAAAAATGTATACCGTTTAACAGACAGCATGGTATTGCATTTATCTTGTTTTCAATTGTATAATCATTACAGGAACGGCAATGGTCAACATCAGGAGTGTCAAACACGCTGCGTCACATGATGTCACGACATATCACAACTTTTTCCCCCTTGACGGAGCTGGAGTGGATGTGGCTTCTGCATGACGCATCCAGCCCGCGGGGCGGCTGTCAACGCTGCTAACATCGGATGTTTTTGCTTTGCTAAGTTAGGGATGCAACCATTTTCTTCTTACGTTTTACTTTTAGAGTTAGATGATGCTGGGGGGCAGGGGGGAGGAATGTGCACGAGAGCTTAGATCAGTATTTCTCAACCTTGACAATTTTAAGGCATGTGGACTTCAACTCCCAGAATTGTCAAGGTTGAGAAACACTGGCTTAGATAGACATAATAATACTGGACTAGGGTGTGAACCAAGGTTAATGAAATAAGAGATGATAAGAATTGGCCTGCTGAAGAACTGGAGGGAGAGCCTGCATTTCAAACTAATTGGAGAATGTGATTTATGACTGTTAATTGGAGGAGGGAACTGTGCTTTGATACTATGTGCTCAGGGAAGGGGAATCCAGTTTTTGGCTTCGACTGTGTTAGTGCCAATGTTATGCTACTCAAATAAAGATTCTTTAAGGTAAACAATGCATCGAAGTTCTTTGAAGAGTTTCATTTTGATGTATGCCGATTGGTGTACATTCAAAGTAACAATAAAGTTTTTATTATTATTATGTCGGAACCATGACACTGGCAGTTTGACGTCCCTGGTCAATGTTATCCTGTTAGTCACGGTCAACTCCAGGTTTAAAAACTGCCTGTGCAAAATGCTTTTGATAGCTCCTCTTTTCCCCCACATGGACCTTGATAGTCTTATCTAACAGATTCCCAATGTGCTAGATATCTACTATATTTTTCCACTGTGCCCTAGCTTCTAAAATACTGTATAACAAAGGTTTTCTTAGAAATACAAACTGTGCCTAGATTTAACCAACTGGTTCTGGTCAGTGGAATGATATAGAATGTTCAGACAGTTGCTTATGGATGCAGCTGAAGTTGCTGGTCCAGAGGTTTGCCCTGCAGCACTTTGTATAAGAAAATGATCTATAACTTACTGAGTATAATTGATTTTAGGCATGCCCTTGTCATAAGTAGATAGACTGAATCCTTCCAATTCCACATTCAAATTGTTTTTAAAGCAATGTCTTAATGTTCTTGCTTTTGTATATTAGCATCAATTTAATAAAATTATATTAACACAATATAGTAACACATTTTCTTCCTTTGTATTTCATGAAAGTGTCAAGAAAGATATACAGCATCTGATGTAAGATTCTGTATTCTTAATTGACTTACGTTACTTAAAACTGTGACACAATCGAAGCCACCTCATTTCAAGCACATAAGATACTTGTCAGTGATATTAACAAGTTCGAAAATAAAACCAAAAATGTCATTAGTTTGCAACTGTATAAGCACACTGAAGAGATACTAAAGTAACTAATTGCTCAAAAGAACCATTCATTCTCTGGAATGCAAAACAGAGAAATAACATTTTTATTACAAAGCTTTAAACCCCCTCCCACCAATTTATAAACTGTTTGCAAGGTTTGCTGAACTGTGCTTTTTACTATATTGATTAAAGAAATGAGGAATAGTTTCTAATAAAATACCTATTTGATGTAAAGATCATTTTATAACGTCAAAATGAAGAGGAATGGTAACATCAGCATATTTCATACTGAAGACATTGGTTCCTGGGAAGTTGCATTAAACTTTATATAAACTTTTAGAATCATTCTGCTGAGAATAGAGGAAGAGAAAAATTGTCTTTGAAATTCCAATACCACCAGCAGCCAAAAAAAATGTTTTACCATTTATATAAGATAATAGGTGGCATGCTTCTAACAATGGGAACTCAAACCTTTCTATTCCTCAGCTTGATCCCAAATTACAATGAATCTAATCAGTAATTTAATAATCTAATCATTTCCATGTATTGCAAATTGACAAGACAGGAACTCTGAAGGTGGGAGAAAGATTTCCAGTAAAATACTATTTGCATCCTGCTGACATCAGCAGGAATTTAGATATAGTGAATCCCACACCCCCTTTTTGACTCACATAGCATTATTAACTATCCTTAAAAAGCACAGAGGCTTCTGCAAAAGTGATAATATAATTTAATCCATTTTAATAGAGGAAGAACAAGACCTTGAATGAATGCTTTTGTGTAGGCCAGCTGCATAAATATGCATTTATTAGGAAAAATATGTAGATTATCTTTTCCTTCCACGTAAGTACATGGATCATGCTGGCTCGGAATTTTAGTCGCAAAATATCCGAAGGGCATCAGATTAGAAAATATACATTTTATGAACAGATGTGCAATTCTGAAATTGCTAAGACTATTATCACACATGCTTAAGCACTGTGTGCAAAGTGCAGCATGAGTTTGAATAGTAACAGTTTTAATGTATACTATTAAGTGATTCAAACAAGGACTTTTTTCCCTTTGAAAAACTTATTTTAAATAAATACTCTTATTTTTAACCCAAAGTTTTAGATGGGGGGGATAAAACAGGGTAGAAAAAAAGGCAGAACAGCCCATATAACAGTGATGGCGAACCTTTTAGAGACCGAATGCCCAAACTGCAACCCAAAACCCACTTATGCATCGTCGGGTGCCGGGTGGGTGTAGCCCATTGGGTGGGCGTGGCTGCGGTGGTAATGGCAGACTGGGTGGGACTAAAAAGTTCAATCAATTCCAACTTTGCAAAATCTTTTTTTTTCCTGCAAGAAGTTGAAATTGATTGATTGAACCTTTTTTTTTTTTTTTTGCACATGGCGGCGGAGGCCTAAAGCGACAAGGTTTTATAAAACCCAGCTGAAGGCCTAGGAGTGGGGTGACGGTGTGCGTACCCACAGAGAGGGCTGAGTGCCGCCTCTGGCACCCGTGCCATAGGTTCGCCACCACTGCCATATAAGATTAAATAATAAACAAGAGTACAAAAAAGCAGGTTAAAATAAAGCTTTGCAAAATATTCGTGAGATAACTATTGTTCTTAGAAAAAATGATTTTCACTCCTTTTTATATTATCTTTTATTTTATTTATTTTTGCTAACAACATAAAGCAGTTCTAATCTGCAGCCAAAGAAGTGCTTTTTGAAGAACCAGAGGCCACATAATCAAAACCGTATGCATAGTATCATATTAACTGTGAAAATAAGATTCTGAAAATTATTCAAAAAATAGTTGGATGTGGAAATGTTCAGAACAAAACTCTCTTCCATTTATTTGACTTAGAAGAAATCCACAGCGGTTGGTCTCTTCTTAGCTGGAATTATAAGAGACATCTTTATTTGAGGAGTTTCCATCAAAGAGCCAGAGGAGGACTTTAGGACCCCATGGGGTGGTTTTTGCTTAGGATTGAAAGCTACCCGGGAGCCTCCCTCTGGACTGACTAAGATACTTTTGTCTGTCTTCTTAAATTCTGTAAAGCAAAAGATTAGAAAGAAAAACATTACATGTCTTGTGTCACCTTGTTACTAGGAATATAAACTACTTATGTGTAAGTGAAGGGAGACACACTGAATCCTTCTAATAGATGCTTTTTTTATTAGCAAAAGACCTTCAGAATGCAAATTAATGTTTATTTTTAAACTATTCTTCACATGCTACTTGAAAATAGATGGGATCTCAGCAGACCAAAATATGCTTTTAAGCTTCTAGCAAAATATACGCATTACTGCCATTTTAACAAAACCAATGCTTATGCAATAAGTTTCTGACCAGCAAAAACTCTTTTAACATTCAGTTTATCACACAAATGATGTAATAACACAGGCCTTTCAAGCAAGAAAGAAAATGTCTTACCAGCAGTCATATTTTTATTTAATCCAAAGGTAACCTTTTTGGAGCTGGAAGATTGTAGCTTGCTTAACTAAAAGAGAAATATAGTTGTTTTCCTGGGCCAAATCTGTATTGGCTTAAAGTATTTTTCAACATCTTTATTAGAATATTGAACCAAATCACAATAGTTACAAAGCATCAGCCAACATACACTATCATCCAATTTGCCAATGTCCTGCAAGTGGCCAGATGGCCTACAGAACAGTTTGCAAAAGCCATTCTAAAAGCAGTATGTTTGTAGAATTGCATATTTAGTTTCAGAATTGAGACTAAACAAGCAGTCTTTAGAGAACAAGGACTCTTATGCAGTGATTCATCACAATCCTATCTTGAAAAATGCCATTGTTTAAAAAGAACTCAAACTATTATTCTAAACATTCTCAAGATATAAACTATAGAAAGGTTATCATACCGGCATGGCAGTAATGCTTCTTTTAGATTTTCTAAAGAAGGCTGGCTTTGGTAAGGCTGTCTTTTTAAACTTCACAAAATCATTCTCCACTTTTGCCTTTGTTTTCTTTATGGGAAGAGCAATACCACCAGTTTCCTGCAAGGAGAAAAAGAGCAGAAAGCATGCATAACGTAGTCAATAAATAGCACATAAGGTTTATGTTCACCTATTAAGAATTCTTTCATGCCTCCACTCCTCCATTTTATTTTTGTACAGCCACATTAAATACCAAGTTGGGAGACAGATTTATAAATCCAGCAATAGCTACATGAATGCCTTTCCATGGAAACCAGTCTTAAGAAATAACATGCATAGTCTGCTTCAGGGAAGTTAAAGAATACAAGATAAATATTTTGGAAAGAGCAAAACTATGTTCTTTTTCCAAATAAAACAATTTTATTTAGGATTTGGAAATAAAATGATTTACATTTAAGGGCATGCAAAATTGGTTCAATTTAAAATGTGACCTTTCCTTATTTCTCCAATCATTCACAAGCAAACCTTGCTTAATAGATGAAAGGCATAAATGTAGCCCTGATGAAGAAGTTATCTAAAATCAAATGTTTGGTCTTCCTTTAGACCTTTGTACACACCAGATGAAGACTGCAGGAGATATGTTGGGCAGAATCATGTGCTCTATAGGCTTTGCCTGTTTGTTTTCTTTTAGCTCTCATGTGGTTCAGAAGCATGCCTTTCAGTTAGCCAACTGATTAGCCTAAGGATGTAGAATTTTAAATTAAAATGTGAAATTACAGCATTAAATTGATGCTGTTTTATCTCTAACCAACTGGACTAGAGTAAGAATGCTCTTTTTTCCATTTCAGAAAATGGATAAGAAATTTAGAAAATGATTTAGTTTGTTAAATTCAACAGTGTATATCCACCTACTTCGTTCTTCCTCTTCTTGTTTTC